CATACATACATACATACATACATACACATACATACATACATACATATACACATACATATATATATACATACATATATATATATATAAGACATATAAAAGTGAACCCTACACCATATACACTATATATATATATTCTTTTATACACACACACAAGAATCTTGAATGGTAAAGCTCTCTGAAACTTGGCCCTGCTTCCTATACTCTTGTACTTTTTACAGGAGTCATTCTAGCATACTATATTCGCATACTGTCAAAACATACAGTTTCCAATTATTTTTTCTCTCAACATGCTGTTAAGATTGTGAATTGAAAATATTGCAGAAAGCTAACTCTTGCTAGGGAGTTTCCTAGGAGAGTTTTAAAAATAAAAATATATCCATTTGAGTAAGGTTTTTTTTAAAAAAAAACAAAAGAAACCATCTGAGAATGTGATAAAAACAGAAAGAGAGAACAGTAATATATTATCTCTTGGAGACTCTCCTATGAGTTATTTTAGTTCTATACAGTGAAACTTACATCCAATAGGTATAATCATTGCAGTGGCGCAGTCAGCCAGAATGTCAAGTAAATCTCGTTCTGAAACTGCATTTTGTCTCCACATGCGTTATTCTCCGAGCTAGAGGTTGCAGAGGGAGAGCCACGAGGACGACCATACCAAGGAAGTGAAATGGGCTGGGGACACTTCGTAATTCTTCATTTTAAAATCATCAGAGTCTTTTCAATAAAGAATACGAGGCCGGCCTGTTCAGTCTGTCAAGGGGGGATGAAATAAACCTCAACCCCACTCTACACAGCTCCTTTTTCCACACCATGCCACAAGCGCAACAGGAAGGAAAACAATCCAGACAAAATTAGCAGGCTGGGGCAAGAGACTGCCAACTGCCAGGCCAGTGTTTCAGGCTCCCGATATTTTCCTCAACCTCACATACGCGTTAAGCCCATTTTCTAACACCGGGGGCGGGGGTGATGGAGGCACGCCTAGCTTCCCAGTCACCAAGCATGTAGATATTTAATGGGGGAGGGGTGCAGCGAAGGGAAAAAGCAGGGGCGCGGGAGAAAATGAGTCAAAAATCCCTGTCGCACGGAGAGCCTTGTAACCTTGGCTTCCAAATCCTGCCATCCGCACACCCGTAGAGAAAAGCGATGCCCAACCTTGGAGAGATCCCAGCGCTGCCAAGGTGAGCGCGGATGGCCCCGACAAGAAGGCGCCGAGGAGGAGCTCCAGCGCGCCCCTCATCCCCACCAACCCCCATCAGAAGTTTGTAAGGGTCCTGGGTTACCTGTTCGGGGCTAGGGGCTTCCGTCTCTTCTTGCTCCCTGCCCTCGGGTTCGTCTTCTTCTGCCGCCCCCTCTTCTCCTTCCCTTTCCTCCTCCTCCTCCTCCTCCTCCCTGACAGCCCCTTCGCGGTTCCCGGCGTCTTCCGGCCGGCCGCCTGCCGCAGGGAGCGGTTCCTCCTGCTGCTGCTGCTGCTGCCGCCGCCGCCGGTGCTGGTCAGCAGCTGGGTCGTCGTCGCCACCGCTCGCCTGCTCCAGCGGTGGCCCTTCTTCCCCGCCGGGGTCCTGCAGCTCCGGCTCCGAATCCGTCTCCCAGGTAGAGTCACAGTCCTCCACCGTGGTGGGCTCCTTGAAACTGACTCCGCTCAGCAAACTGCCCATTGGAGAAGCACTGCGGGAGCCTGGCGACCCCCCTCTTTCCTCCCCTCCGGAGACGGAAAGGGTCGCGCGTGAGGGGAAGGTCGGTCGGCCGGCCGGCCGGCC